AAATGCCTATTCCTTATATAGTGAACAACTTTAGACCCCAGACACTATGAAAGGATAACACCTATCTGCAATACAGTAATGTATATAAACAGAAGTGAATCAGTACAGGCATAGTAATGTATATAAACAGAAGTGAATCAGTACAGGCATAGTAATGTATATAAACAGAAGTGAATCGGTACAGGCATAGTAATGTATATAAACAGAAGTGAATCAGTACAGGCATAGTAATGTATATAAACAGAAGTGAATCAGTACAGGCATAGTAATGTATATAAACAGGCATAGTAATGTATATAAACAGAAGTGAATCAGTACAGGGATAGTAATGTATATAAACAGAAGTTAATCGGTACAGGCATAGTAATGTATATAAACAGAAGTGAATCAGTACAGGGATAGTAATGTATATAAACAGAAGTTAATCAGTACAGGCATAGTAATGTATATAAACAGAAGTGAATCAGTACAGGCATAGTAATGTATATAAACAGAAGTGAATCAGTACAGGGATAGTAATGTATATAAACAGAAGTTAATCAGTACAGGCATAGTAATGTATATAAACAGAAGTGAATCAGTACAGGCATAGTAATGTATATAAACAGAAGTGAATCAGTACAGGCATAGTAATGTATATAAACAGAAGTGAATCAGTACAGGCATAGTAATGTATATAAACAGAAGTGAATCAGTACAGGGATAGTAATGTATATAAACAGAAGTGAATCAGTACAGGCATAGTAATGTATATAAACAGAAGTGAATCAGTACAGGCATAGTAATGTATATAAACAGAAGTGAATTGGTACAGGCATAGTAATGTATATAAACAGAAGTGAATCAGTACAGGCATAGTAATGTATTAAAACAGAAGTGAATCAGTACAGGGATAGTAATGTATATAAACAGAAGTGAATCAGTACAGGCATAGTAATGTATATAAACAGAAGTGAATCGGTACAGGGATAGTAATGTATATAAACAGAAGTGAATCAGTACAGGCATAGTAATGTATATAAACAGAAGTGAATCAGTACAGGCATAGTAATGTATATAAACAGAAGTGAATCGGTACAGGGATAGTAATGTATTCAAACAGAAGTGAATCAGTACAGGCATAGTAATGTATATAAACAGAAGTGAATCAGTACAGGCATAGTAATGTATTCCTTTGTTACGGAAAGTGAACACAGTTAAAAGTGGATGAGGTGCATCAGATGATGATGGTAGACGGTTCTGTTAATTGCCAATCACACTCTCAGCGACCTCTGACCTCAGCCTACACAGGCTTCACCTCTGATGAAGCTAATGTCTCTGTCTTCCAATGTCAATGCGCTTTATTGTCATGACGTTTCAACACATAGCCAAAGCAACATGTTTCTCTCTTTTGCAGTTCTCTCTCTTTTCCAGGGTCTGCTACTCATCTCTCTCCCACTTTCTGTCACTCTCTTTCGGCTCATTTTGTGATGGGTGAAGTGGGCGAGTTGGTAAAGCGTAATTGTGTGGGTGTTTGTGTGTGTGGAGATGACACCGTGGGCTCGCCACCAGTGAGACGTGCTGTTGCCATAGTAACGACTGCAGCCAGGATTGCTCGCTGATGCTCCCACGGTTCTAGGTCTACCCGATACCTGAGGGGGAGCGTCACGTCTCCCCGCTGTCAGCAGGGGGCGCCAGGAGGTCACCAGAGAGTGACACACGTGAACAGACACACAACCCTCTGGCTGTAGAGGACGTAACATATTAATGCACGTTGAACACTCTGAGCATCAAAACACGACAGGTCGACAGCATTCAACAACGGTTTATTGGTGAATGAACCACAATGAGTTTCAGTCCCCAAAGGCACTTCAGCACAGCTCCACAATGACTGTTGGCGATCCGAAACGCCACAAACAGACAAACGACAGCCGGATTCAATAGGGCAGAAGACATCAGAACAGTGCGCGCTACTGTGCTCCTACCTGCAACTCCGCTGGGCACGTTCCAGCCCGCCTACATTGCAGTCTCACACCGACTCGCATACACACTCATTGGACGATTTGCCAAGTGCGGCTGCGTTGGGGACGACCTGGAACAGCGGCTGTATCAACATCCCAGACTAATCAAATCTAGTGTCCTGTAATAGTACATCACAACTCAACTCAAAGCCAACAGAAGACGGAATCAGGTGGTCTGGCGAGGCCGTCCTAGGTAAGTTTCGCACGCCCCCTTCCGTTTGGCTAAAGTTAGGACTGAAGAGGACAGGCTGATCCTAGATACACACCCGCGGCGTCGATGTCACTCTGGTAAGTTCATGAGGGATGTGAAACTTGGGTAATGGTCACCTCAAGACGAGCTGGGGGATACGCGAAGGGTGATCCGCAGTTCACAACAATAACACAATGTCACCCGGGCCCCTGTTTTGGTAACCAGATCAGGAACCTCACTACGTCACAGTTTGACCTGTGGATGTCCGGCAAGTATTGGGAAAACTGGTGAAACTGCAGATACCCATAAGACATGTATACGTTATATTCTTCAAAAATCCATTTAAATAACTGGGTTATGGCGTGCCTGAGTTGGCAGACAAGCACATGTGTTAGCTAAAATAAGCAGGGGGGGGAAATGAAAAAATGCTATATGCTATACAGGGCAGCTACCAGTTACAGTCTGCTATACAGGGCAGCTACCAGTTACAGTCTGCTATACAGGGCATCTACCAGTGGGCATCTACCAGTTACAGTCTGGTACACAGGGCATCTACCAGTGGGCATCTACCAGTTACAGTCTGCTATACAGGGCAGCTACCAGTTACAGTCTGCTATACAGGGCATCTACCAGTGGGCAGCTACCAGTTACAGTCTGCTATACAGGGCAGCTACCAGTTACAGTCTGCTATACAGGGCATCTACCAGTGGGCATCTACCAGTTACAGTCTGGTACACAGGGCAGCTACCAGTTACAACATTCCCGACTAACACAAGACAGACATCATAAACATTAAGGAAGTACAGGTCAATTTACCCTCACAGTATAGTGAAAGATACAGATTTACAGTATGTAATACCACAGATCTCCCTCTCTGTCGGTCGTTCTCTTTTTCCTCAGTCCTCTCTCCTGTTCCAGGTATCAGGTACATAAGCACAGTGCTCTAATTTGCTGTAGTCTCTTTTCTGTGTCCATCTTGGAAACAACGTCGCTCCAGTCCGGTGCCTCTAACTGTGGCCGTCACTACACATTGGGAGCCTCATTTGTATACACTCATTTGTATTTCTAGAAGTTTTCCAATCCGCAGCTAAACGAACTAGGAGAAGAACACTCTCCACTGTATCTGCATGTATTTGCCTAGGCAGTGTGGTTGGAGGAAAAAAAATGCAAAACCCAAAGTCGTCTGTCTACAGACCCAAGGTACAGATACAGACCACATTTATAATACAGTGTTCAGAAGGAACTGGAGAACCAAGGCACTATTCTCTCAGCTGTATCGGTCATAGAATATCATGACGTCTCCATTTTGTGTAGGCTAATTATTTAAATTTGATTTTAAAGTACATTTTGTTTTTATTTTACACAGTCACACTTGTTGTTGTTTAAATGCTTAGCACTTAATTTTCTTGATTACAAATGCATTACATTTTCTCTACATACGATCATATATTTTGACAAGTTGATAACAAATATAACAGAGCCTAATCCATTAATTGTAATCAATTAATTGTAAATGTTTTGTAAAAAAGGTGTAGCCCACGACGTGTAGCCTATTTGGAACAAGTGCTTCTATGTTAAACTGTCACCCTGGTTAATTAAAACAAGCCTAAGAAATCAATTAATAATCCTAACTAAAATCCTATGAAATCCTAAACAATTTGATTTAAACAAAAACAATCAATGGAGTAAATTTTAGAAGGGCTGGTTCTTGTCTGTGGGAGGTGGGCTGCCACTCTGGGAGATGTGGGAGTTGGGCTGCCACTCCGGGAGATGTGGGAGGTGGGATGCCACTCTGGGAGATGTGGGAGGTGGGCTGCCACTCTGGGAGATGTGGGAGGTGGGCTGCCACTCTGGGAGATGTGGGAGGTGGGCTGCCACTCTGGGAGATGTGGGAGGTGGGCTGCCACTCTGGGAGATGTGAGAGGTGGGCTGCCACTCTGGGAGATGTGAGAGGTGGGCTGCCACTCTGGGAGATGTGAGAGGTGGGCTGCCACTCTGGGAGATGTGAGAGGTGGGCTGCCACTCTGGGAGATGTGAGAGGTGGGCTGCCACTCTGGGAGATGTGAGAGGTGGGCTGCCACTCTGGGAGATGTGAGAGGTGGGCTGCCACTCTGGGAGATGTGAGAGGTGGGCTGCCACTCTGGGAGATGTGGAGGTGGGCTGCCACTCTGGGAGATGTGGGAGGTGGGCTGCCACTCTGGGAGATGTGGGAGGTGGGCTGCCACTCTGGGAGATGTGGGAGGTGGGCTGTTACTCTGGGAGGATTTTCTGACAGCTCAACTCTGCTCACACACTCTGGTGTGTATACATCTGTTAATATGGACGTGCGTTTGTCCAGAACGAGTGTGCGGGTAAATGGGCTCCCTCTGCTCCTTCAGCTGTCCCACTCGGCGGAGGGCGTGCTGTCCTCTCCTCTCTCTTCGTCGTCATCGTCCGAGTCGGACGAGACCTTCTTCATCCTCTGCATGGCGGCCTTAATACTCTTCTGTAGATCTGTGTCCCTGCTGTCCTGAGGGAGGGGTTTGGCATGAACCACCTGCAGGGGGCGTCAGAGAGCATCAGATCAGTACCGACATGCCAGGCAACATGAAATAAAAAACGGATATCAGCGAGTGTTATCGGTTCTTGAGGGGTTCCCGCCTCAGTCGTGAGGTGGAGTTTTGTGTGTTCTAAACCACTCGCTTGACCACTGCTCCGAAATTACTAATCCTTCTGGCTCGTTAAAAAAAAGTTACACACAAATACAATTTTTTTATTTATTTTACCGGTAGGCCAATTAAGAACAAATTCTCATTTGCAACGGCGACTAGGGGAGAAGCTGGGGATTGAACCCAGGACAACATACATACACCGTAAGCACTTTACCACTAAGCTACCAACTCTTCCAAGTTTTGTTGAAGTTTATACGGTTCTATAAAATAAAATCGACCGCGAACATTAACAGTATTTAGGCTTGACACCAGTGATGTCAGTGGTCAGCACACTGCCAGGAAAAGCAGAAACTCAAAGAGACAATAAATGCCTGTCACTGACCTTGCGTAGTTTGACCCCCAGTCGGATTGCAGACATGATGTTATTCCTGAGGTCGCCACCAGAGGGCGCCATGCCGGGACCAGGAGGGGCAGGGGTCTGGACCCGACGCAGCTGACTCTGACCACGCTGTAGCGAAGCCAGGACCTCATCCATGGATCCTGAGGTGAGATGGAGAAAGGAGAGGATGTGGGGGTGAGAGAGGGAGTGAAGCGGGGAGAAGGCAGAGGCAGGTGAAAGTTGGGTAGAGGCATGGTTCTGTTGAGTATTAACTTATAAACTATGTGTGGTAAACTGTCAAAAAGTGAATGGTTTCACTATAGTAGGAGAACACAACGTCCTACTGAAAGAAACAGCTCCGTCCTCAGAAACAAACTTTCACTGTGACGCTCACCTACGTTCTGTTTCAGCGTGTGTCTGTCAGCTAAGGCAGCTCCGTCTTTCTCAGTGAGAGGCATGGGGGAGTCAGCTACCTCTGACCCACGCGGGGAGAGGGGGAGAGCCGGAAGAGGGGGAGGAGGGGGAGGAAGGGGCGGTGGAGGTGGTGGGAGCAGGGGGGGCGAGGAGATCTGCAGGGATTCGGCCACAGTCAGGGGTGGGGGAGGAGCATATATGTGGACGGGGATGTCTTTAGGTTGGGGTTTCGACTGCTTTCTGGGGGTCTTCTTGGGGCTGGCGCCATAAGGTAATGGGGAGGAGTCAGTGCAGATGATTGACAGCGGCTGGTCAGAACTCGGCGGCGGCGGCTCCCTGGTGGGCATTCTGGAACGGGGAGTCTTAAGGAAATAACTCCCCTGTCTCTTCTACAGAAAACAGAAGGGAAGAAGAAGAGGATACGGTTTAGTTAAGTCAGACTGATTTCTTGCTTGGTTTTATTGATCGGTAGATTGTCTGATTGATCACCTCTCTGAAGGAGCGCAGTCTGCTCAGAGTCCTCTGTCTCTCCTGGTCCACCCAGTCCCTCCTCCTCTGTTCATCCTCTCTCCTCTTCTCTCTCTTCTGTAAACGCACAGACACCAGAAACCAGCTGAGACAATAAAGGTTAGCATATTAAATAAGCCTGACGGAAAGATGAAAGACTAACGGAGAGAAACAGTAGGAGACAGACAGGAAGTAGAGGTGTGGATAGTATCTAACAGTAGGAGACAGACAGGAAGTAGAGGTGTGGATAGTATCTAACAGTAGGAGACAGACAGGAAGTAGAGGTGTGGATAGTATCTAACAGTAGGAGACAGACAGGAAGTAGAGGTGTGGATAGTATCTAACAGTAGGAGACAGACAGGAAGTAGAGGTGTGGATAGTATCTAACAGTAGGAGACAGACAGGAAGTAGAGGTGTGGATAGTATCTAACAGTAGGAGACAGACAGGAAGTAGAGGTGTGGATAGTATCTAACAGTAGGAGACAGACAGGAAGTAGAGGTGTGGATAGTATCTAACAGTAGGAGACAGACAGGAAGTAGAGGTGTGGATAGTGTCTAACAGTAGGAGACAGACAGGAAGTAGAGGTGTGGATAGTATCTAACAGTAGGAGACAGACAGGAAGTAGAGGTGTGGATAGTGTCTAACAGTAGGAGACAGACAGGAAGTAGAGGTGTGGATAGTGTCTAACAGTGTGGGCGTTTCTGTGTGGGTTTGCACTTGTTATTCAGGGGTGTGTATGCATTTACACGTCAGTATACACAGGCAGTGCTTGTGACTGTGCGTGTTGTCACGGTAACCCACCAGGGCCACTCCGTGGTGCTGGGTGAAGTGGGAGGAGCTCTGCCGGGCCACACGGCTCTTCTGATCATTAACCTCAACACATTGGTCCTGGAGACAGAAGAGGAGGGAGTGAGCATCACCTGGATAATGTTAATATTTAGCTGTAAATACAAATCATTCATTATGATTTTCGGATACTTTGGTCAGCCAACCACTGCTTTCATTCTTCCTAATGTGAGACATCAAACAGTTGATTTCGACAAGCCAAATGTTTTATACGTCATGTCTCTGATCAAGACAGATTTATCCTGTTTTGAAAAAAATTAAAATAATCCTAATGTATCGGCCTCATGAGGGCTAGCTTGTTGTGTACCGCACACACACACACACACACAAACACACTGAGCTACCTTCTTGTTACGGAGGTATGCACGACGAGCACATATGTTCCCTCTCTTAGCCTCCAGCTGCTGCAGGCGTCGCTCCAGATGATTGACAGGTGAGTGGGCGTGGCCTACCGGTGCAGCTGTTTGTAATAGACTCTGAAGGTCCTCTGGGTCCTCACACACATCATAATACACCACCTCCTCTTTATGCTCTGAAACACAAACATACACACATTTATGAGACACACACACACACACATAGCAAAACTACCTCTCCCTCAGTCTCCTTTCTCTTTCAAGGAGTAATAGTCTATTATTCTGGTTTGCCGTTTGCCCCTTTTATGTTTAAATATACATCTAAAGTCAAGCCTTGCTGAGCACCACTCTCACACACCACACACAGTCTATTTCCCAAGGGCGCACACTGCATTTCTATGCATAAAATATTTCCCCAAAACATGCTTCAGTGGCATTTTTCTAAATAGCACAGTAGCACAGTGGAGAGAACTTGGTAGGAGTAGGCTTTCAACGTGAACTATATTGGCTCTGACTATCGGAAGCATTTTGCATTTCTATGGTTTACACTTTAATGCTATTTATTAATATAATACTATTATATTTATTACTACTATATATAACCATACACTAATTGGCAAAAACCTTATTACCACCTGCCATAATGTTATTGGTCCTTTGCGAACGGTTTATGCCTGTGTGTGTGTCCATGTATTTATATGTGTGTGTATATGTGTGTGTCCATGTATTTATATGTGTGTGTGTCCATGTATGTGTGTGTGTGTGTCCATGTATTTATATGTGTGTGTATGTGTGTGTGTCCATGTATGTGTGTGTGTCCATGTATTCATGTGTGTGTGTGTGTGTGTGTGTGTCCATGTATTCATGTGTGTGAGTCCATGTATGTGTGTGTGTCCATGTATTCATGTGTGTGTGTCCATGTATTCATGTGTGTGTGTGTGTGTGTCCATGTATTCATGTCTGTGAGTCCATGTATGTGTGTGTGTCCATGTATTCATGTGTGTGTGTCCATGTATTTATGTGTGTGTGTGTCATACCTTTGATCTGGCGTCGCAGGGTGTCAATCTGAGCAACCAACAGGAGCTCTTCGTTCTTGAGGATTTCAAACTTGACATCGTAGAGTTCCAGCTGGGCCTCGTAATACTGAAGCTCCAAATCATTCACAGAGTCACCTCCCCTCTGGTCCTGTCCAGACAAACCTCCCATCTGGAGGAGAACATGTGACAGGTTGGTTATAACAGTATATAGGACACAGTGTCACCTCCCCTCTGGTCCTGTCCAGACAAACCTCCCATCTGGAGGAGAACATGTGACAGGTTGGTTATAACAGTATATAGGACACAGTGTCACCTCCCCTCTGGTCCTGTCCAGACACACCTCCCATCTGGAGGAGAACATGTGACAGGTTGGTTATAACAGTATATAGGACACAGTGTCACCTCCCCTCTGGTCCTGTCCAGACAAACCTCCCATCTGGAGGAGAACATGTGACAGGTTGGTTATAACAGTATATAGGACACAGTGTCCTATATACTGTTATAACCAACCTATATACTGTTATAACCATCTGGAGGAGAACATGTGACAGGTTGGTTATAACAGTATATAGGACACTGTGTCCTATATACTGTTATAACCAACCTGTCACATCTGGAGGAGAACATGTGACAGGTTGGTTATAACAGTATATAGGACACAGTGTCACCTCCCCTCTGGTCCTGTCCAGACACACCTCCCATCTGGAGGAGAACATGTGACAGGTTGGTTATAACAGTATATAGGACACAGTGTCACCTCCCCTCTGGTCCTGTCCAGACAAACCTCCCATCTGGAGGAGAACATGTGACAGGTTGGTTATAACAGTATATAGGACACAGTGTCACCTCCCCTCTGGTCCTGTCCAGACACACCTCCCATCTGGAGGAGAACATGTGACAGGTTGGTTATAACAGTATATAAGACACAGTGTCACCTCCCCTCTGGTCCAGTCCAGACACACCTCCCATCTGGAGAAGAACATGTGACAGGTTGGTTATAACAGTATATAGGACACAGTGTCACCTCCCCTCTGGTCCTGTCCAGACACACCTCCCATCAGGAGGAGAACACATGACAGGTTGGTTATAACACTACATAGGACACTGTGTCACTTCTCAGTAACTTAATCACACAAGCTACATTTTTGCTTAAACATGTCTCCTGGAGGCACATCATTTTCTTTAAAAAACTCTTTAGCCAAATGGGAAGAATTGTTTGTAGCGTTTTGAAAAAAGTGTGGTCAAGAATGAATGTATTTGTGCAAAATACGAGTATGTGAGTGTCCGGTTTTGGTCATTGTGCCTCAAGCTCCAGTGTGACTGGGTAAGCAGTTGATAAAAACTGGAACTTCAAACTAATTCAGGACAGTTGAAGAGAACAGCTCGAATCCACGCTTTCTGATTTCCAAGAAACATCTTTTCACCCTTTCAATCAGAAAACCCCAATCAGAACCCACGCAAAAGCCTCCAACCCAAAACCCACGCTTGAGACAGCCAGGAAGCTAGAGTTGCTCTTATAATTAGCTGGCTAGGTGCTAACTCAGGCTAGGTGCTAACTCAGGCTAGGTGCTAACTCAGGCTAGGTGCTAACTCAGGCTAGGTGCTAACTCAGGCTAGGTGCTAACTCAGGCTAGGTGCTAACTCAGGCTAGGTGCTAACTCAGGCTAGGTGCTCACTAAACAGTATCAACA